AATGAAGATCAAATAAAATAGTGTCTGTAAACAAGAAGATAGAAAAAATTAGTTCCAAACTTTGATCATCATTGAGTAGTAAAGCCTAGTCGAAGAGTTGTGGTTATATTTATCATTCCAAACATGAGTCAGAGAAAGTTAGAATGAGCTAATGATACTAGTTTTCGTTAGATGGTTATCCTCACAATTTAACAAATTACACACAAAAACACGGGAAATTTGAAATGTTATCAAGTTTATATTTGATATGTATCAAACTTCCCACAGAACAACAGACGTTAGACGCAGTGGTATAGGTATCCAGGAATACTGTTTCCCTGACAGTGACCAGGTATTACTAGGATAATAAGAACTCCGGAACACTAGACTCACTGATGATATAAAAATGAGAGAGAGCCATCTGGTGACAACGAAATGGAATATCTTAGAAAAATTATGCTACTACTCAATCCTCGTGGTTGAATATCGTAGCGATGTCACCGATTAGAGGTTTCTAATATATTCAATATTTTGCAGTTCAGAGCAACTGGTATCCCGCATTTACAATACAGTACAAGATATACGGTAAAAAAAAAGCTATTTACGTTGGAATATTACAATATCGCATTAAAAACACTGTCTCGCTCGTACTGCCCACGAAGTTTAGGCCTAAACACAATTTTATAATATAAACGTAAAGGCCTAATACTTCCTTTGTTGTACATGTACTGCACTCAACACGTATGCCAAAACAAATTTTTTGAATAGATGAACTGCACATAACTCCAAGGCCTAAACTGTTTAAAGAACAATAACACTTTACAGACGGGACTGAAAAATTGAGAAAAAAAAAAAAGGGCGCAGATATTTTACTTTTAAATTTAAAATATTGTAATTTCCGGTTACAGCAATACTGGTGTTTGTCAAAAATGAATAATTATCACACACTTCATAAATACACTACATGGCGATTACCGAAACACCCTACCGGATTGGCACATTCTAATCACATGTGACATCATAGATGATTTGCCGAAGACACGCCCACACTATCACTCAAGCAGAGTGAACAAAACTTACTTGATGAGAATATGTACACGACTTCAAATGAACTTCACGTAATCCCTGAAATTAGGATGGAACCTCGTCCAAGTGACAGCATTGTTGATGAGCGACATAACATTACAAAAATCGCTTTGACCGAAAGAAGACAAGATAGTGGTCAAGTGGTCGCATAAGTTCTGGACAATACATTAAGTTTTTAAAAATAAAACAACATCACTTAAATGGCTTTGGAATATAGAATAATTTTATAATACTGTTTAAAAAAATAAGATTAAAAAAAAACCGATAATTATTTTTTGGTTTTTATAATTTTTCGAGATAACGTACTTTTGGTATCTTGATTAGTTTTTGTTAAGTAATTATTTTTCGAGCAGATACAAGTCACATTATTCACAGTTAAACCCCTTTCACATAGGAAGAACGGTTCCGATCACTTGGTAGTTTTCTACAGACTTTTATTTTGCTCACTACAGCAACTCCGACAGAACAATAAAAACAATATCACGCAGTACAGAAAGACGTTTCTTTGCTTGAAATATAACCGTTTTGTCTCTCATTTACCGTTTCTCTTAGGATTTGACATTTCTTTAGTTGACAAATCAATATTTTGATTTCTCGTGCACCACACAGGATCTTAAGGTGTAACAAGTTTCACGCGATGCTGGAACAATATGATTGTTTGAAATTAGGAAATTAAGATTTTCAGAAGAAAGACGTTTTCAATACAGAACAATACACGTAAATATGATCCATCCAACCTATTGGAGAAAAACGTCCTTCACGTGAAATATAAAACTAATTAAATCTTACATCCAATCTCAGCACGTGGGTGTGAGTAAACCTTGTTCTCTAAACCTATCTGAGTGTTGTGGGTGTGAGTAAACCTTGTTCTCTAAACCTATCTGGGTGTTGTGGGTGTGAGTAAACCTTGTTCTCTAAACCTATCTGGGTGTTGTGGGTGTGAGTAAACCTTGTTCTCTAAACCTATCTGAGTGTTGTGGGTGTGAGTAAACCTTGTTCTCTAAACCAATCTAAGTGTTGTGGGTGTGAGTAAACCTTGTTCTCTGAGTGTTGTGGGTGTGAGTAAACCTTGTTCTCTAAACCAATCTTGGTGTTGTGGGTGTGAGTAAACCTTGTTCTCTAAACCAATCTTGGTGTTGTGGGTGTGAGTAAACCTTGTTCTCTAAACCAATCTGAGTGTTGTGGGTGTGAGTAAACCTTGTTCTCTGAGTGTTGTGGGTGTGAGTAAACCTTGTTCTCTGAGTGTTGTGGGTGTGAGTAAACCTTGTTCTCTAAACCAATCTGAGTGTTGTGGGTGTGAGTAAACCTTGTTCTCTAAATATGAGCTCTTCGAACTTTTTCTTGGTATCTGGACATGTCATCATGAATGTCTGTCAACTTTTTGTAAATGAATTTGAAAGAAGGTCTACTGCTGGGCTTTCTGGTCCAACAAATCTTCATTAAGCTGTAGATGGACAAGGGAGTGTGGTCTGGACAGGACAAAATATTACCCTCCTGGACAAACATCACCACTTCCTCATGGGTCAAGCCATAATAGGGCTGGAGGGCGAAGGAGAATATTTCCCATAGCACCACACCAAAAGCCCAAATGTCAGACTCAACTGTGAACTTATTGAAGAGAATGGACTCTATGGGCATCCATCGGATTGGAATGGCATCGTGCTCGTTACCTTTGTAGTAGTTAGAGGTGTAAATTTTCTGAGAGAGTCCAAAGTCCGAGATTTTCACAACCATGTCATTATTGACTAGACAATTCCTGGTGGCTAGGTCACGGTGGACAAACTTCCGTTCAGATAGGTAGACCATTCCAGCAGCAACTTGTTTGGCGAGGTTAAGAAGGTCGAGATGACTAAGCCTAACGTCACTAAACATGTCACCGTTTGGAGTTCGAACAATGTAGTTACTCGGAGCACAAGATCGGAGGAATTCATTCAAATCCCCTTTCCCCATGAATTCAAACAACAAGCACATGGGTTTTCCAATGGCACAGACTCCCAGTAACTTGACAATATTTGGGTGGTCGAAATCAGCCAATAGGCACGCTTCTCGTTCAAAATCTTTCTGAATATCTTCTGTAGCTTCCTCCTTGAGCATTTTGACAGCAATCATAGTAAACTCTTCCTCCTTAACCAGAGCTGATGCCTTGGCCTGAAAGACCCGCCCAAAAGCTCCTTGTCCAATGTCCCGGATGTAGATAATGTCGTTACGAGGGTATTCTAAGCTCTCCAGTTTAGGATTTAGCTGTACATTTGTTTTGTGATAAGACATATTGGACGGAAGTTTGTCCAAATCAATTTCTACGTCTGCAGTAGGAGTGGCGTTATAGCCTTTGTGGATCTTACGAAGACGTCTGCAACACAGAAGAATGGTCAAGATAATGACCACAGCTACCAGACTAACAGCGCATACGATGAGGATGAACGAAGGGGTGAAGACGGGTTCTTCTGGAGGTACAAATGTGTCCAACAGCTCAGTTTTGGTTTCTTCTTTCAAGGTGGCGTTTTCTGAATGTCATATAAATAAAATAGCGAATATTATTTCATAAGTAGCTATATGCGGTAATATACTGAGCTCTCACTAGATAACAATAGTCATACACAACAAATAAATGATACATTTAACACTATAACTGTAACACGTTGGATAACAATACTCATTATTAACATGAAAACACAGAGACCAGGAAGAGGGATATAGTTAGTACGTACCACACTTTGGAATATCACAGTGTTGCCATCGGACCATTGGATCCATTGTATAGCACCATGGGCTCGGTTCTTCACCTCCAGCATTTCGACAGAAGTTTTCTGAGTTCAGGACTTCTGGGAAAACCATCGGGGGGCGATGATGTTTGTGGGGTTCCTATCCGTATGTACAGGTTAAAAATTAGTATTTGATATATGCATGGATGATTACACGGAGAAATTGAAAAAAAAATATTTTATTGCCCTAACAAAGTCGCCTATGTATTATACCACCAGTTTCGGCCTTAGGACTAGATCAAGCAACAGTAACTTATTCCATTGATCACAAGAAAGTACCTTCACACACAAAATTATTACATGAATAGTTTCGGCCTTAGGCCTAGATCAAGCAACGGTAATTTATTCCATTAATCACAAGAAAGTACCTTAACATGAGAATTTATTACATGAATAGTTTCGGCCTTAAGCCTAAATTACACAACAGTAAGTTGTTCAGTTGTTCAAAAGAAATTACCCCAACACTAAAAGATATGTATTACATGACTAGTTTTGGCCGTAGGCCTAACTCAGGTGACAATGAAATATTTTTTTTTTTAAAAGAAAGTCTCTCACAAAAAACGAAGATATAACTAAATGACTCGTTTCAGCATTAGGCCTACATCAGGCAGCAGTAAGGAACAACATCTTTTCAACAATAAAGTCCTCATCTAACAGTTGCACTCATGTAGGCCTAAGGCCGACATTAATCATGTAACATTTGTATGTGTGATGATGTTTTGTAGAGTATTAGGCCTACATCAGGCAGCAGTAAGGAACAACATCTTTTCAAC